ACTACTGACTTAGTCTACCTGGTCTATATGGTTTCCTTTTCCTCTTTTTTATGGCATCCGTCACTTCCCCTCCCTTAGTTTCGTCATCCACAGCTTCCCGCTCAGGACTAGATTCCGATTTTCCATCACAATCCATGAGTTCTCCTTCTGGAAAAAGGAAATGTACAGATGAAACTGGAAGTCTATCAAATACAAAAATAGACAAGAAAAAGCAAAAAAGAAGAAGAAGAACAAGAACAAGAACAAGAAGAAGAAGAGGAGGCAAAGCAAAAGATCCACCACGCCATTCCAATCATGTATGCCTAATGTGTATCAAGAGTTAAGAGAGAATAAGTGCCCCAGGATGGTGATAGGAGTCATGCTGCAGGACCCAATTGTGTTCCCAGGGAGTGTAAGATGCTGATAGAAAGAGGAAACAAAGCTCAAAAAGATACCTATAAATCAATTTTTCAAGCAATCTCGCCTTTAACATCAAGATATAAGATCCAAGATTTACCTGTCTTCTTCACTAATATAATTTACAAAATTTGTTTTATAAAACACATCCAATAAATATTACTGAACGACAAAACATGGCAGGAAAAAGATTATGGCTTTATTTCTGGGTCAGCTAAAAAAAATCACTCCAAAATAGACACTAAAAGTGATCACTCTTGGAAATAAACAAAGCTACTCTGTCCGATACTTTGCTGCTACTAAAATAATTCTGTTGCCTCACAAGTTCAGATAGAAAAACTTTATGATATCTATTCTGATAAAGAAAACATTTAGGGATTCACAAAGATTACAGGGGGGCATAGGATGACATTCCAGCTGACTGAAATGAATCACTCTGAATGTCCTCACTTTACGCTTCACAAACACAATACAAGAAAATATCCAAATCCAAGTCTAAGATCATCAAAGAGAGGAGTTTCTCATCCAGAGGTACCTTAAGAAGTATGAAATTATTTTATACACTAATTCTTACACGTGTCCCAAGGAAAATAAATGAGTATTACCTCGACTATCATCCATTTCACCATCTCTTGAATGCTCTGACTGGATGTCTGGAGGGGTCTGAAGGACAGCCACACTATTCTGATTTATAATCTTCAATTTCAATTTTGGTTTTGTCCGTTTTCTTCTTGGAACTGTAACTGTGAGGCTCTGTAACTGAGTCATCCCTGATTCAGTCAAACATACACCATCCTGGGTATAGGTCTTAGGTGGATCTAAAATTACAAAAACCCACGAATACAAAATTAAGTTTTTACTTGAAATTGACTGATAAGTTGATTAATATACCAAAATCTACATGGCAAGAAAATACAACTAAACATCCATTCATCAAATATCTACAAAATGCATGAACTGATGATGTTCAATTAACACTGAAAACAGGCAGAAATTTTATAAAGATCTAACACCCTCAAGTACAATAATATATATAATATTATAATATATGAAAAAGCCATAGTGAAGCCACTATTTTGTATGCTAGCTAAAATATTAATAATAAGATCATAAATTCTGTAGACTCAAACCGGGCGTTGGTGGCGCACACCTTTAATCCCAACACTCGGGAGGCAGAGGCAGGCAGATCTCTGTGAATTCCAGACAAGCCTGGTCTACAAAAGCTAGTTCCAGGACAACCTCCAAAGCCACAGAGAAAGCATGTCTCTAACAAAAACAAAAAAACAAAAAAACAAAAACAAAAAACAACAACAACAAAAACCAAAACCACAATTCCTATGTTTTTGTCTCACAAATGCTGTCATTATCATTTCAGCAAAATGAGCTAATATGAACACTTTATACATTAATTCTAGAAAACAATATCAATTCAATTAATTTCATATAAGCGTCAAGTTGGTTGTTTAAGAATTAAGTATATCCTTTTTCTAAAGGAAAACCATTTCAAGTATTTCAAATTTACCTAGCTCTCTCACTTTTGAAACAGTTTGTGCCACAAGTGAAGAGTCACA